GCCCGCCTTTTTTTTTTTCTGCCCCTTTTTTAAATTTTTTTTTGCCCCCCTGGGGCCCCCGGGGGCCGTTTTTTTTTTTTTTTTTTTTTTTTTTTTTTTTTAGCAATTTTGGATATTTTTAGTGATTTAGGCATATGAAAGACTGACTAATAAACACGTCCAATTCAGCCAAAATGCGCAGCTTCGCATGTTTATGCAATTTGCATCAGCATAGGCAAATTTATTCTAAAATTAAAACAACACAAAGTGGCGGGACCCAAGAGGGGCAAAAAAACAAAAACAAATGACGAGCAGAGATACCATGAAAGAGATTAGACTTTTAGGTCTTTATTTGATTCATTTAAGCGTGTTACGTCATCTTAGATTGACCCATTGCTGCTAGCCATGAGCGATAAACATGATCTCTATGGCGTAAAAAGCTGTTAATCCGTAAGGAACACAGTCTTTCTATCTCGGGTCCATCTGTACATGAAGCAGCATGAATATTTATTCTCCTCACTTGTTAACATTGCATGAAGCAGGGCTGATAATTGTCTGTCTTCTCGGCGCGACACGCCGTTTTCTGCGGGGATGTGCGAGAAGGTCGAGCCACCGGGGGAACGCGGCTCCACTCCGCTCTCCTCAGTCTAAGTGAGAAAATGGGGAAGCGACCCGCTCGGCGACAGAACCATGAACGCGACACATGCTTTGTCAGCCGCGCCGCCGTGCAGATGTGAATGGGCTACGGGGTTTGTTCCAGGCTTGTAACGTTTTCTCGAGCATTCTCCATTTCGGTGATACATTGCTCTTTTGAGGCACGCCGCGAATGAAACTCTTCTGTGAAGGTGCCGGTTGCAGGGTTTTTTTTATCCCCCCCCACACACACATTCCCCAATGGAGGCAAATCTAGGATCCTTGCCTTTAAAAGCGAGGAAATGCTTGTCCATTCAGCTTGTAGTTGTCAAAGCGCCACCGTAGGGAATATATTTTTTTTTTTTTTTTTTTTTTTTTGCTGTGTGAATATACTTTTAGCTGCTTGCGCTCATGTTTAGGTGCACAGTTTGAGAGTGTAATGCAGGTGTTTCAGAGCTGTGATTCCGAGAGTCTTCCTGTAAATCTAATCCAGTCTAGAGTAGGTGCATTGATTTATTGAGCAGGCCTTGTTAGTACGGAGCAGCCGTGCTTCCCGCTACATTCTCATCACCTCCTGTACTCACGCCCAGCCTTTTATTTTTCAGGAACAGAATGATGCAACGAAACCAGCTACGTTTCAGTTCGACGTGCGTTTGATTTGATGATTCTTTGACGTTAGAAATGATAGTGTTTGTTGCCAAGTTTTCCATTTTCAGTTTTAGTAAACTCTGATGCTTTCGCCCAGAACTTAAGAAGTCATGTAAGCGAGTTTAGAAGCAGTTTGCATGAGTTTGCACTGTAGAGATTTTAGTGCAAACTCAGCGTGTTCCACTGGAGACGGGCCGAAATCTGAAAACAATAAACAGCTTTGCTCTACTCTTTCTAACATTCTTGCTGTCTGATGAAAGTATTGCCTCAATACGTAGTACATATGTGACCCAAACTTCCTTAAGAAGTACAATCTGCTCTTCCTGTAGAGACGGCTTTTCTGTCGTCAAATTGTTGCCTTTAATGTTCACTCAGAGATTCAGTAAGAGAAACAGGTAAGCATTGTCTCTGTGTGATCAGCTATTGGTAGCATTGTCAGTATTAGATGTGTTTAAGCATGTTCAATTTCTTGATCAGTTGCTGTTTCTGTTGTCCTTTTCATTATGTGATGCAGCATTAGTTAGCATTTTATAGCTGTGGCTGATGAACTCGTATTATGTTTTTAAAAAAACTGTTTCCCTTTATACAGGGTAGAAAACATTCCTCTTACCTAAACGGATTGATATTGATTATTTTGGTATTTTTATCAACAAGTTCTACTCCCCAAATTGGCTTTTATTTAGGCAATTCAGTTCTTGTTCTTGTCAGCCTTTCATTTGGTTCTGTACAAAATGTCTCATCCTTGTGTTTATGGACTTTTTATGCCTGGGCAATTCATGGGTCATTGCATTTTGCCAGGCAGAATCGCCGCCACTCCAAGTTGATATATGTAAGAAGTCTTAGCTTTTTAAATTAACCTTTTATTCCCAATTTTTTTCCCCCAAAAATTGGGAATATTCCAAGTTTTAATTTGAGTATTTTACTTATTCAAGGGAGGGAAAGGAATCCCAACCCCTTTTTTGGCAACAGGCCACATCTCTTTAGGTTGTTCTTCTTCTGGGCTCTCTCTTATGCTCTCTTCTCTCCAGCTCTGCCTCACACGTTTTCTAAAGGCTGCGCTTCTTTTGGATCAGTGTCCCGCAGAATGACCCAATGATTACCCAATGATTCAGTTCTCTGGGAGAGCTCAGCGAAATGAAAACGAAAAGAAGGGTTCATCGTAGCAGGCACTGTCGAAAGGTGCCACCCACATTTGAGCCACAGTTGCAGCGATTCTGCAACAGCGGGTGTACATGTGCAGTAGACCCGTCGTCGCCTTCCAGCTTTCCTCCAGCGCTTAATTTTTCTACATGTCTGAAAAATCTGATCAAACGGAATGCTAGTGTCAAAGTGTCAAATAAGGCAATGCCAGACCAACAAAAAGGCAGATTCTCAAAAGAAAAAAAGGGTCAGAAATGTCTTTTGAGAAATCTTCAAAATCCTAAAGAACTATTTATTCAGGAGCATCTTAATTATTCATTACTTCTTGAAAGCAAAGAAAAAAACATTAGTTGAGACTTTCCCACAGTTCTTTAAACACAACCCTGTACACTAATTGCCCCCCCCCCCATCTTCTCACGTGTCTCTTTCAGGTATTCGGCCCCAAATCATGAACGGGCCTATGCATCCGCGCCCGCTGGTGGCACTGCTGGATGGACGCGACTGCACCGTGGAGATGCCCATCCTGAAAGACTTAGCAACCGTCGCCTTCTGCGATGCCCAGTCGACACAGGAGATCCACGAGAAGGTAGGACACACACTCTTCGTCACACACAGCGGCATGCATCGTAGCAACCGAAAGCTGATGGGGGAGATTGCTCGTGTCCACCTCGATCACCGAGCTGATGTGTGAATCGTGTTATATTGGCCTCATGTACACTCGGCAGTTAAAAAATAGTGGCTTCATTATGATTTAATGTCACTTTGGGGCATTGGGCGTGATGCCTATATCAGTGCCATTGTTCTAATAGAGAGTCTTGTACGGCGGGGATGCAGTGTAATTACATTGGCTTGTCGAGGTTCTTTATTGTCTTTTATGCAGCGCTCCGGCTGCAAAACAATATACGTCTGCAGAGATGGGTATCACCCAGGAGCGATCTCTCCATCTGAAGATGGAGAGCGAGCCGCTACATCTTTTCGTCTCGCTGTCTTTATGAAAATAGGACATATTAAAAAAGAAGCATTTGCATAAAGATCAATTCAATCAAAGACCCCGGGCAGAGAAGAGGCGAGGGAGGGAGGGGAGCGGGGGGTGCCTTTTTGTTTGTTTTTAACACTACCTTATCAGGAAAAACATGATTGTAATGTTCACCTCAGCAGCATATTCAGGCAGTTCGCAGTAATAACCCGCAGTCTGGATACCCAGAGGGGCGTGATAGATTGAAAATGTCCAATATCTCTCCTGCGCTGCTTGTATGCAGAGATGTAGTGTTGATAACTGTGGAATTTCTGCATAATGTAGACGAGCGCGTCCGCGCGCCTACGTTGGAGTTGCGAGTTGTGAGTTGTGTAAAACTAAAAGACCGACGGGTCTCCTGCCAGATCCATAACTTTTTTTTTTTAAGGCGAGACGTGAATGATGACACTCGAGCGATGACGGAGCAAGAAAAACGTTACAAACCCACTTCAGTGAAATTCAGCACCTGTGCTCGTCCGCCAAGGTCAATGATCCTTTGTGTTTGTTTCGGTCGTTACAGCCTCATATACCACTTGTAAAGCTTGGATCGCAGCCCACATGGCATTCTGTCAAGAATGGCTTATCACACAGTTCAGCTTGACTCAGCCACTGAAAGTGTTAAGCTTAGCGATGTAGTGGAACCCAGTAAATATAATATAATATAATATAATATAATATAATATAATATAATATAATATAATATGTCAGTAATCAAGGTCTGCAGCTGGTAGTTTCTCTTGAAAGTATTTCTCCGATGGTTTTTCATACAGCAATTAGGCTAGGATGTTCAGAAACAACAAGATTCAGGCCTGCCATGAGCTGGAAACTGATGGAACCAAGTAGGTACGTCTGCAGGCGAAGTCGGCGTTTCCAAAGGACGGCGTCTCTCAAGGGCCAAACCTCTGATTGAACAAACCAAATAAAGCGCAAAACGATCGGTCGAGCAAGTGACCATAGGTGTTTCTTGAGTCTTTCTTGAATTGAGGCTTTTAGACCTAAGAACACAAACAGTTATCAAGCAAAGTGGTGGCAGTGTCATCCTATGGGACTGTTTTGATCTTGGTGGAGTAGGGACATTGCACAAAGCGGGATTTGGACTACTTCCAAATTCTCTCATTTCTAACTCACATCACCTAGATGGTTGAAACTCATAGGTAGGGGGTGGGGCGGGATAGTCACCTCAAAAGCATAGCAGCAGTTTCTGCAGTTGGATAAGGTAGGCCAACATTGAGCTTCTAGAAACGTAATGGACTATGACAAAGACTGGGTGTTTATCAGACAGCCAACTTAATCACAGAAGAGTTGAAAAATATTCATCCAAATTTATGCCAGAAGCTGGTTGATGGATTCAAACAGTGGGTGGTTGCCTAGGGAACCATTTTAAAATTATTAGTGGGAGTGTATGCATATGTTTAAGCTTATTGAGTTTTGATTAGAACAGTACAGAGCAAATTAGTTATTCCGTTGTGGAAAAGGAATGGTTTTAAACAAAACCTCAAAAGCTTGAAATTAGTACCATTCTCGTCGTCTTTGTAACTTTCTCCAGTAAATGGGAACATTTACAAATGCAAATTTTCAGCTGGCTGTTCTTTGTGTGTATTTGTGCTGAATTTGCCCTTATTTAAGGTTTCCAGTACACTCTTAACTTAAGATGAGATGTTACTCTCCCTTTTTCCTCACGTTCCTGTTTTATTGCCAACGTGGATTTTAAAAATGAGGTCAAAAGGAGGTTTTGATAGCATCCTAGACATGGGGTTATTCTGTCATTTCCCTGCTGCACTTTTGTTAAGTGATCAATGCTTAGTAGTTTTAAGCGGCAACTATTTTTAACAAAACAGCTTTTCCTGTCAGGTGGGGGAAAAAAAAGTTTGTTCTCAATGTTCCAACCACATTGCGTCCACCCTGGACCGTGTGCCGGGTGACTTCATAACCATGAAATCCTTCCACGGTTAACCGCAGACACACACAAACACACACAAATGGTTTTCTGTTTGATAGGCGTCTGATTGATATTTATTTTTTCTGAAGCTCCCATGCAGTGGCGAAACACTCAGAGTTCTTGCACCGTTTTGAAAAGTACAGAATTAGATTTCAGGTGTGAACAGTATGAAAAGTTTCCCTCGATTGTTATTCACTGTCTCGTCGTCTTAATGATCCTTCCTACCTTTTTTCCTTTCTTCCATCTGTTCTTTTTCCACTCTCCCTTCCCCACATCCCTCCATCTTTCCCTCCTTTCTCCCAGCTTCTGTTTATTTATTTGAAGCACACTTAAAGCCTGCCCACTGCCGAAATAACAGCTATAAATTCATGGCGAACTTAATTGTGTTGCATTTTAAAAATGTCCATAAAAGCCTAAGAAAATTGGGTGTGGAAAAGTGTGACATTTTTAGACGGAAAATTTGTTGGAACCCTGAATAAAATAATGATCAAAAATATTCATTAAAATAAATGACCAAATTCCAACAATCTTCTCCTCAAGCTCAGAAGGAAAAAGAAAAAAAATCTTTCAGCTTTGAGTGCAGAGGGATGTTGGTGTGCGTGCCTGTGTGTTGGTATGTGTGTGTGTGTGTGTGTGTGTGTAAGGAGTGTTTTAACCTTGAACTAGTATCTGGAAGGCCTGTCCAGGACACAGTGCTAATAAAAGCAGTATGGAAATTCAGAGCTAATCTACTAATCACAGGAAAGCTAATTCAGTTTGGCTGGAGGTGAATGTAGCGCTGTTATTTAGGCGGTGACAGGGGCCCGGGCAGATACTGAGGGGGGAGTAGTTTAGATCCTCATCAAACCGACTAGCAGGCCAGGTCACCTTGAGAGCCCTCGGGTGTTTCACTGCTACTGATCTCTGCAGGTGGCACAATTCAGATTCATCCACTGCCGATTCTTTGGATCTTCTGAGGGATACCCCAAAACTTTCTGGCGTGAACTTAAAAAGTAACTACTTTAACTATATATGCAAAGGTTTGCATTAATTTAACACAGCTTGACGGCACATCCCTATTTCCTTTCCGACTGTAGTTCTTGACCTTTGGCAGGATTTATTTGTTCTGGTTTAAATAATGAACGTCTGTTCGCTCCCAGGCTGATTCACTGACCAGAATTATGTAGCTGTACAACAACAACAAAAAACCTTTTTGAACAAACATTAAAAGAACAGAAGTTATTTCCACTGTGCTCTGAAAGAGATTAAATAGCTTCTTCCTTTTTATCCTCTTAAGCACCTTTTAATGGTTATATTTTTTTTTAACCATGTGCTGCAAAGCTTGACTATCATTTCTAATGTCGTTTGGATAAAGATATTTTTCTGGTGCTGTTCCTCACTTTGCCATCTTTGTCGTTTGCAGCTCTGGTCTATTCGTGTGACTTTTTGGCTAAGGGAACCAGTACAGGCACTACACATCAACTAAAGATACTTTAAATCTACTTTCATCGCCATTTACTGAAAGTAATTTTCTATGTAATCCACTCAGCATACAGAAATGTGGTTATGTGACTCCAGTCATGATTATCCACCAGCAGGAGGTCACTTCTAGTTATTTTTGGTTTAATCAATAGTCGTTTCAGGTGAGTCAGCTGGTCTCTGCACATATCGAAAGTAGGTGTGATTATGTTTATTTGTATTTTTTGCTTTTTGTGGATGAATGGCTTTATGAACAGCTGAAAGGGTTATGCAGATATTCACATACACCTTATAAAAAGAGAGAGATCATATTTTAATGACTGACAATAATCAATAGTTTATATACTGTACAGTTCCTAAGTAAACAGAAATGCATTAAATGTATTCACAGAAAGACTGGCTAGAGCGTTCGTTCAAGCTAAGTTGATGCAACGCTGTGAAACTCTGAAACTGATATTTGATCGCGATGGGCACGGGCGTGTAGTTTTTTAAAATATTATCTTCTTAGCGCAAAATTTGACTCTGTTGTTGTGAATGTCTAGTCAGAGTCAGTCTTGACCTCACTATGGAGACGGATAAACACCCTGAGTGGAGTCCTGGTGATCACGCAGCAGTACAGATCCAGGCAAACGCACTCTGCAACATTTTTTTTTCTTTTTTTCCGCTGTTTGTACATCATTCTGGCCTTTCTCAACATCCTGGACTGACAGATGCTCTACTCTCTCAAGCCCTTCCAGAGTTCTACCTTATCTTTTTGTCCATGCCTGCCTCCCTGCCCACACTCACACACACACACAGACGCAAACACACACTAAGAATGCTTCCTCCTCTTCTCTATCCAGTCTTCATGGGCTCTTACCGCACACAGCCTTCTTTCTTACCCAGTCCGGCTTTCTGCAGCCTGTGCTGTTGGTCAGTTTGGCTGGTGTCGACCCAAAGCAGCGTCCCTTGTCAGTGGGAAGCTGAATAGAGCAGAGGCCTCCTGGTGTTTCAACGGAAGACAACCAGCTACTCAACTCTGGTGGCTGTAACTACACATATCCAGTGCAGGAACATTTTGATCCTGTTGGGTAAAAAAAAAAAAAAAAAAATCTTTTGGCTTAATGAGTATGAATAATCACATGATCTGTGCAAAGTTGCAAAGTCCATTCAAAGGAGAAGCAGATTTTGTAAGCACACGGCAAGAGATACGAATTTAATTAAAAGGAAAAGGGAAATATTTTTGTCTCTTTTTTTTTTTTTTGTCTTGGTTTTATCTGTAGGTGCTAAATGAGGCAGTGGGAGCCATGATGTACCACACCATCACCTTGACCAGAGAGGACCTGGAGAAGTTCAAAGCCCTACGCATCATCATCCGCATCGGCAGCGGATATGACAACATCGACATCAAGGCGGCTGGAGAGCTAGGTAATGAATTGTTATTTTGGGGTTTTAAATATCCCTCTATTCACGTATACGTTTTACACGTGAATTCTTGTGCTCGTGTGAACTATCGTGTTCACATTTTGAACCGACAGTGTGTTCTTAATGCTTTTATTTTGGTGCAGCAACAACACGGAATTAGGATAGGCTTTGATCTAAAGCCGAAACAAATGCTGCAATGGTTTGTGATGACGACCTCAGTTTTTAGCATCAGAGTCCAGTAGTGGAGAACAAGTGGCTGCTTCGGTTGTCATTTTAAAAGTGAGGTTATGGCAAAGCTGATCATGATCCTGGCATTGCATTTTTTTTTACTGTCTAGTTTACAAAGTCTAGTTGAGGTTTACGCTATTAAATTAACCACCAAATGCCATTTGGCTGACAGTTTGGCACTACCTTTAGGTCTTGCAGAAAGTTTTTTTTTTTAATTAATTTGTTTGTTAGTTGTTTTTTTTTTAATAGAAAAGATTTTGTTCAGTTTGGGAGCTAATCAAGTGGTTCGTTTTTGTGTTTTCTTTTATAGACGGGGAAAAGACCCCGGCATTTGACACTTTTTCCTCCTTTTTGTTGCCTTACTGTACCGCTCTATCTTAAGGTTTGAAAATAGCTTTAAGCCGTCTGTTTGACAATCCTCGTTTGATTGAGCAACATGCAGATCAATGGAAAAACTCAATGAAAATCTTAGAAGAATGGTAAATATTTATGATTAAAATGTACCCAAACAATGAAAAAAAAAAAAAAACTATTTTGGAGTCATATCTTAAGAGCTGCATATTTCTAAATTATCAGTTCTAGTAAGTGTAAGTAGTTATATGAGGGGAATTTGGTTAAAAGTTCAGGAACAACTCGGGAATCTTTGAGACTCAAAACGTGCTATGAATTGGAAAAAGTGTTGCTGTGTTCTCAATCATTGCTGAGGCTTTAATTTAGCTATAAACGTCACAGGATTGGTGTTGCTTGAGAACGAAGCCTCTGTCTGAATCGACACCTTCATGCTTGTTAGAAATTTGCGACCATCTGCATGTGGAGGTCAAATATTTTTCTGGGGGGGGGGAAAAAAAGTTGTGCGGTCAAATGAGACAAAACATTTGACCGGTAATGAGAAGTATATTCGGAAGAGTCAAAGTGAGGCTTTCAAATCTAGAAACACAGTAGCAGCTGTCAAGTATGGTGGTGGTGCCATTATGCTGTGGGGTTATTTCTGATTATTTACACAAAAACAACAGCATGTTGGGGGGGGAGGGGGAGCGTACCTCTGAAGTCTTCGACTTTGCCTCAGTTTAACTCTTAAATGCGTGCTCCAACAGGACGATAATCCCAAACACACCAAACTGCTTATGCAAAAGATAGTGCATGTTTTTAGTGGGTTAATACATCCGCCCTGACCCCTGGACCCCAATGAAAATATGTGGAATTTACTTAAAAGATGGATTCGTCACATGACCAAACATGAAGGGGGTTTTGGTAACACTGCTTTACTTTAAAGAAAACCCGAATCAATATAGCAGCAGGTGTTTGATTGGAGGTGTTGCTGTGAAAAGTGCTCCATTCCAAATGGTTTCCATTGATTCCGACGCAGAGAGTTTTGCCTGCCATCTTCCTCCTTTGATCTTTTGTTTACCTGTCAATGACATGCTTCACTTCAAGCGCCAGTGTTTGGATTTATCCAGATAGCTTACGAGTGATTCATCGAATCATTTGCGATGTGCTCAAGAATAAAATAAAAAAATATTCAAAGAGGGTGCTGAAGATGGTGGTCAAAATAAGATCTATGTCTGAAGGGAATTTTCCATTGAAAAAGACTTGCTTCAAGTACCTTCTCTGAGTTTCCTGGTATGCATTTTTAGAGTAGTGTTTAAAGCCGAAGTTAACGGTAAGACGAACCGTGAAGATGGAACTACGTACGAGCCAGACTTTTCAAAGCCACCGAAAGCAAAGGGAAGAAAAGAGTTTGGTTCATCCTCTGAACCACCACCCAGGCTCCTATCAGCAGGCTCGGTGGCTCAAACGGCTCTTAGAGCTGACAAAGCTGCCATTTCCCTGCCAATACGAGATACCGTGTCTAACTGCCACCCACTCGCCGACAGCGCGCTGCCTTTTGCAACACAGGAGTCAAAAAGCTATCGGGCCTCGAGAAGGCAGCGCAGATATGACGGCTGAGAGGAGAAAAAAGAGGCCATTGATTGAACATTGAACAGGCTCTGGTTATTTTTTGCTGTCCGCAGACCACCGCGCTGTTACTCAGAGATACAGAGTGGGATGAGGGCATTAGCGGAGAGCCGGGGCGGGCAGAAGTGCTTTGAAAGGAGTATAAAAAAATAAAAATAAAAAAAGACGCGAAGGAAAGACGAGGTAATACCACGAGGTCAGAGGTTTAAATTGCTTGAAGGCAGCTAAATTGAGAACACTCTGCTGGAGTATAACTCAACAGAAAGTCCCTAAAACTTCAATGTTTTCAGGTCATCCTGTTGCTGACAGTAGAATGCTTGTGTTTGGCCGTGATAGTTCACTTTAATTTAAAAAGGTGCAACATAAATAAAGATTTTTGGGTTTACACAGGGTACTTTAACACAGCGTTCATGTTTGGTGTGAAGCAAACAAATTTTGACAGATAGTTGCATCGTTGCTTCTTGTATCCTTCTGAACGTTTTCCAAGCGACAATTCAATTTTCTTTTTTCTTTTTTTTTCTTTTTTTTTTTACGTTGTTAACCATACTTTGGGTGTACACTGATCATTTATTTATTTTATATCACCTATTCAGATTGACTTGAAACTCTTTTGGCCTCTTTCTCTTCCTTCAGGTATCGCTGTGTGCAACATTCCCTCTGCAGCCGTGGAGGAGACGGCCGATTCCACCATTTGTCACATCCTGAACCTCTACAGGCGGAACACCTGGCTCTATCAAGCTCTCCGGGAGGGCACGAGGGTCCAGAGCGTGGAACAGATCCGCGAGGTGGCCTCCGGTGCCGCCCGCATCCGTGGCGAAACCCTCGGCCTCATCGGATTTGGTGAATGTCCAGCATATTCATTCTTGTGCCAGTAATGAATCTCCTCCTTTCCCCTTAAAATGCTTCCTATGTAGAGAAGCCACGATGATTTTCTCTGCTCTTTTGTTAGCTTTCATTCCGCCAGCACAGAATTTAGGGAATTCTGATTTCCCTTTAAGAACTACCACATAATAAAATGCTATACCTGCTGTGGTTGGTTATTTATTATTGGTTATTATGTTTCTTAAAGAAATACACAAGGAGCCTTTCCTTACCACCAGAAAGGCTGTTGAGCTAAAAAAAAAAAAAAGTCTCTTGCAACCTGAAAGAACTGCAGCCATGTCTCAAAATGTACTTTAAAATATGATTTTAAGGAAAGTAACTATTGAGTAGTTGCCCTGTTGTGTTGACAAGGCTAATTAATATGCTACGAGGTTCCACGGCAACACTGCGGCATTTTTAAATGGTTAATATTTTGAGAACTTGGTAGAAAAAAGAAACAGACAATCCTTGAGCGTTAGGTAAGCACCATCAGAATCATGTGACTGGCTAGCCGTTAGCGGCGAATGCTAAAGGTGCCATTCGCTTTGAAGTTGTGTTTCAGTCTAGACAGCAAATGATCGTCTCTGGTAAAAATCTGAAATACTTCGTGACCAAAATCCGATTTTAGATTTCTAAAACCTTTACTCTGTCCGTGAAAATACAAAAGTGTGACAATTTTAATGTGTTTTTTGGCTGGATTACTTAAATAGTAGACGTGCAGAAATATACTGACTAGTCAAAGATGGCATGGGAAATTCGGCACACACACACACAAAAAAAAAATGCTTAAGTACACAATTATTGATCAATATAAAGTCTGAGGAGGCTGCAGGAGAAACAAGCAAAAGGTTGTTTCTCCTGCAGCACATCAAATGCAAAGTGCAGCAGGAGGTTTTGTAGCTTCCACAGGCCTCCTGAATTATTAGGCTTTCCTTTACACATTCTGCAGAGCGTGGCAACAATCACAGATGAAGCCGCAACAAAGCAGCCGCCTCGTTTGCGAAAAGAAAACACGTGGGTTCGTAGTTTTTCCAAACCCGTTTTTCATCTCGTCTCCTCTCGTCTCATCTCTTTTTTTTTTTATATCCCTACTTGCATCTCTTTGTTTTCCTCTGACTTCAACACCTCACTCTGACAGAAAATGGCTCATTTTTAGCATTCTTCACGAATAACTTCCACGCCGATGATCATTGTTGTTCCCGCAGTCTGCTAGCGATTGGGTACTACGCATTCGCTGATCAGCGCCGACCACCGGCCAGTGCGTCCCTACTTTCATGTAGTGTGTTTTCAGATCTCCTTGCCAGTCAGAGGGCCTTCTGTTTTTCAGCTCTGATAAGGTTGTTGTTTTTTTTGGGGGGGGGTTTTTTCCCCGCTCCGCTCGTCCCCCAGATTATCTCAAGGTTGTCTGTTTGGCCTCCCTCCGGGCCGACTCCCTCTATCCGCTCTCACAGCCCACTGCTCTAATGCTCCGCCATAATATCTTTATTATTTTCTTCTCTTCTGTTTTTCCGACTCTTCGTCTCTGTTATTGCTCTCCCCTGACATCTCGTGCGGCCATAATCAGCCCTCATGGCGTACTCCATTCTGCCTCAGTGTGTGTAAATGTGTACGTTTCACTCTCTGCTGCTGTTTCCCTGTTGATTGTGTGTGTTGTTTTTTTTTTTTTTTGGGGGGGGGGGGGGTTCTGTCCCTTTTTCTTCTCTCCCCTAATCCCCAGGCCCCCAAGTTCTCGGCGTTT